TGAACTTGAAAAAAAAAAAAGAGAAAAGAAAAAAGAAAAAAAAAAAATCATCCTGAACTTTTAAGTCTTTAAGGGTAATATATTATATCTAAAGATTTGATATGGTTTGGGCTCTCAGGGTTGCAGGGCAGTCAATTCGCCTAAAGAACGAAGCTGAATTCCCTCCACTGTGCCAATAGAAGGAAATCAATGCCATTCGAAAGGATGATCAAGTTGTACAAAAAAGAGTGAACGAGATTCATACATTTGATAGATCACATTTGACTTGTTTTCAGTTTTCCAGGACTCAAAGTACCCTTTTCGTCCTGCTGTTAATTATACAGAACGAGACAGTGGTAGAATAGCTGTTATTAGTATGTTTTTTGGTCTGGATTTTTTAGAATCGATACACCAAGCGGTTAAATTCTAATAGGATCATCTCGGTAGATGACAAATGCCTGTCTCGGTTTGATGGTGAATCTCGCCTCCTTTAACTTCTCCTCTCTTGTTTTTGGCTTGTCGATGATGGAAATTTCGTGTGTTTTTGTAAATTGGTATTGTCTGAAATCTGAGTTAGAAAAAAAGTGTGTGAATTCGTGGGGTTTCTTTATCATCTTTAATTCTTTATGGAGGAAGGAAATTTCAGAAGCTGTGTTGTTTGGCGCAACCACACTATGCATGGGGCAAAGATTCTATGGAGCCATCGGATGATTTTTTTATGAAGTCATCTTTTACTTAATGTGTTGACACCTGTCCAAAATGCGTTTGTTGCAGGATACATGTCAATCCATCATTTGCGAATAAGTGTGGATGACTCCATAAGTCGTGTCATCCGATGGTTCTATAGCAAAACTGATGCATGTAGAGGAAATTTTGCTTTCAATTCTTGTCTCTAATCATGTTAGAATTAAGGTTAACTATTCTAGTGGTTCAGAATGTGTTTGGTAAGCATTCAAAGACAGCTAGTTTCTAGTTTTATTTAACAAGCTTATAAGTTTATTGTATTTGAATAAGTATGGTATTTATGACGAAATTTTTAAAAATACTCGGAGCTTATCTTATAGTTTTTTTTAAAGGTCACTCGAAGTTTTTATCTCGATCGGCTTGTCAACTATTTTTATCGAAAACTAACGTATAATATTAGTTAGTTTCCCACCATTAATTACAAGTTATTAGCTATAAGTTCGAAATTAACATGAACTGTTAGGTATGTTGGTAAATCTACCAATTAAATTCTAGAATTGAGCATGGGCAGTTATGGCGTGATGATGAAGATAATCATTAGTTACAACTTACAACTAACGAATGGAACCTATTATTAACTTGTTTTATATGCTTCAAAATGATATTTGATTTGCTATCATTTAGAATGAATGTCCCATGATTTTGATTTTTTTTTTTTTATACCGGAAATGAAGCGATACGTCTACCGCTTTATCACGACCCGACGAGGATGGGACAACCCCGCAGAATCATGAAGCAACCATAGGCCCGCCCCATCTGGAGGACGATCAAACCGTTGCAAACCACCCGCTCCCTGAACCGCCAAAGATGCCAAAAAGTCCGCCACGAAGTTGGTCTCACGATGCCCATGGACAAGCTCTAGCTCCCATGCTCGACCCATTAGTTCTTGAATGCCCCTAACAAGGCTACTATGCGGCCCATCCGACTCCTCTCGACCAACCATAGTTATAATAACCTGGTTATCCACTTTCGCGATAATCTTCCTGGCACCAACATCCCATGCCAGGCTTAGGCCCTGAAACAAACCCCAAAGTTCAGCGCCCACAATAGAACAGTAGCCAATATTCATCGTAAAGCCAGAAACCCAATGTCCACAGTAGTCCC